GATCTCTGCGTACGTATGTTCCAGTACGAAAAGATGGCTTATTCGTATGAATAAAATATTGTCGTAAATATGAAATCAAAAATGCTCGTGGAGAGGCCAGCCAGTTTAAGTTCTTCTTTGAAAACCTCTGGATGTGAAGACTTTTTTTTTGAGAGGAAGCAGTTTTTCTAAGGTGTTCTTCTCAGATTTCTGAGAGATTTTCCAGTAAAACTGGCAGGGTCAGCTAAGTCTGGCAGTGACGCCGATGACGAATCGTTACACTTTTTACCTTAACTCTTAACTTTGTTGAAGATTGCTATTCACTTCAGAACTAATAAACAAGTTTTCAAGAGTAATACAGGGAGTCCTTAACTCAGGGATCCTCAACCTTGGCAACTTTAAGACTTGTGAACTTCAACTCCCAGAATACCTCAGCCAGCAATACCTCAGGTATTCTGGGAGTTGAAGTCCACAAGTCTTAAAGTTGCCAAGGTTGAAGACCCCTGCCTTAACTTACAACCATATTTCAGTCCATGGTTTTGGTCATAGGTTCTGACAGTCGTAAAGCAGATCACCACGTGACCACATCCAATTTTTACGACCTTTATTCTTGCGGTTGTTAAGCGAATGCTGCGATCATTAAATGAACCGATTGTTCCCCATGGGGTAGTTTTTGTCGGAAACTCAAAGTAAACATTGGTTTTTGGCAAAAACCATTGTAAATTGTCTTTGTATGGTATACATATATACACACACACACATACATATATATGTCTCTAGTTATATTAAAAATACAAATCCTGGGTAAAGCCATGCGATAAAATAAATAAATAAAGCTCAGCATTTGTATTAAACAGCTTTTAGTTTGATATTATCCTGGTGTTCGAATTTATTTATTTTATTGCATATATATATATCTATATATATCTTCTATATAAATAAAAATGTAAATGTTTGTTTGTTCAAAATCTTAAATCTCCAAAAGTTCTTCACCGATTGCTTTGAAATTTTGACACAACGTTGCATTCGAATACATGCGTGTTTTTATATACTACTATTATATAGATGTCACACCTGTGATAGGTAAAAACATTCTTTTTAAAAAAAAACAGCGCCATCTGTTGGACATAAAAGCAACACACGGTACGACTGAGCCACAGCAACGTGTGGCCGGGTACAGCTAGTATATTATATATGTGTGTGTGTGTGTGTGTGTACACACATACACACACACATACACACATACATATACAAACACACACACACGCACACACACACACATATATATATATACATATACATATTTAGTAGCTGGAACAGTAAAGTGTACAATAAGCCGGAAGTTGTGATTAATAATTAATTAGTTAGAGAGTGCTGATTCATTTATGAGGTAATCTATGCTATGATTGGTTGCCATAAGTATAAAGGGAGCGCTTCCCTTTTTCCCAGTGTTTTTCTTCTGTGTGTTTTGTATACTATTTAGTATACAGTCTCAGATGATTCACCTCAGCTTAATATATTAATTATTTAATACAAGTAATATTAATTATATACTATTAATTATATAATATTGTATCATATTGTATTAAATTAATACTATACATTATATTAATAATATAATTAATTAAGCTTAATACAATTAATATATTAATATATTTAATATATTAATATATTAACTCCAAAAGAAACTAAATGATCATATAATGTGACCATATAATATGAATCAGGGACCATATAATGTGACCATATAATGTGAATCAGGGACCCCTCAAATTTTTTATATCTTCTGCATTAAAAAAAAATCTGATGTCCATCATTTTAAACAAATTCTTTGGGGAGTCCCACATGTCCTGAATACAATTTTCGGATGAATCCATCTTCATCTCAAACCTTTAGCTATGATTTTTTATTTTTAAGTACCAACACCATTGCTGTGGCTTTATGGGAAATTCCACTTCTTTAATCCATGAGTGGAATATCTCAGAAATGTCCACACTTGTAGTAAATCTACAAAGAGGTCAGCCCTGGTACTGAATTCTCTCTTCCCTGTTTTTCTGCTGCTGAGCAAAATTCAGGTAGTCCTCAACTTACAATAGTTCATTTAGTGACTGTCCAAAGTTGCAACAGCACTGAAAAAAATGATTTATGGACATTTTTCCACACTTACGACCGTTGCAGCATCCCCCATGGTCACGTGATCAAAATTCAGACGCTTGGCAACTGGTTCATATTTATGACGGTTACAGTGTCCCGGGAACATGTGATCACCTCTTGCGACCTCCTGACAAGCAAAGTCAATGGGGAAGACATTCACTTAACAGCCATGTCACTAACTTATCAACTGTAGTGATTCACTTAACAACTGTGGCAAGAATGGTCATAAAGTGGGGTAAAACTCACTTAGCAACAGAAAGTTTGGGCTAAAATTGTGGTCATAAGTTGAGAACTACTTATAACGTGGGTTCTTTTTTGTCTCTCTTTCTTTTCCATGGGAGTTGAATCAGAAACATCCATCCTCTGGGAATTAATTGGCAGACAGGAGCCTCAAGGAGTTGGAAGTGGCTAATGATTGGGTCTGTCTCCTTTGTGTCAACCCACCTTTGATGCCTGTCCAGCTTCTTCGGACCAGATACCATTTTGAAGGCACGCGCCTGAGTATATCCTGCAGACTCAACACAGAAGTATTAACATACTTCTTATTTTTCCCTGATGCTCCAGGCAAAGTCTTTTCATGCTCAGGCAGTGGCGAAGGCATGTTTCCAGGTTCTCATGCATAAATGTCCTGCAGGCAATATTTCCCAAGAGTCCAGATGGAGGCTGTTCTTCTACCTTCTCCAGCTCAGTTCAACAACATGCCTGGGCACGTCTCCAAAAGTGAAATGGGAAAGAGGGATGCCCAGAATCCACAGCCACCTGTGGAAAAAAGGAAGGACTTCTGGATAGGATGTGAACAGTTTGATGCAAGAAGTTGTGGCAGGGAAAGCCAGAAGCCAAGATTCACATTGCAGTGTGAATCCTTTCTGTTCACTGAAGCAGACTACAATGTCCATATCCAGAACATGCCATTTTGCTTACCTTTCCCAACCCATCTTCAACTTATGACCACAACTGACCCCAAAATTTCCATGGCTAAACCAGACAGTTTTTAAGTGTGCCTCATTTTACAACCTTTTTTGCCACAGTTGTCAAGTGAATCAGTGCCGTTATTAAGTGAGTGATGCCGTCATTAAGTGAATCTGGCTTCCCACATTGACTTTGCTAGTCAAAAGGTGATCACATGACATCGGGAAACTGCCTGTCATAAATATGAGCTGGTTGCCAAGCCCCCAAATTTTGATCACATGACCACGAGGATGTTGTGACAGTCATAAGTGTGAAAAATAGTCATAAGACACTTTTTTCAGTGCCGTTGTAACTTCGAACGGTCTCTAAATGAACGGTTGTAAGTCAAGGACTACCTGTACATTATTCCTTCTCTGAAGAGTGAGTTAATGTTCCACAATTGCTAGGCATACTTATGATCATAATTTAGCTTGCAATTTCAGTCATAACTCATGACATTTGTGAAGCCGTAATTTAATTTCCCCTTTGTTGTACTTAACTGATATATAATATTTCTAAACATTTACACTCGTTTTGTGTATTTCTGATTTCACTCTAATCAATTTACTTTTCCCCTTCAAAACCCTACTCTAGATATAATGCCTTGTTGTGAATATAAACTATATATGGACATTGTTCTTGCTTACACTGGGTTCACCTTTTGTTCATTTTGCCATTGTTGAATATTCTCGAAGTTTAAGTTCTGATATTGTCAATAGTGTGTGTTTTTCCAACGTTGGAAAGCTTTTTGAACATTTTCTCCTGCTTATTTGAGAAATTACCTCTTTCTTAGAAATTATACTTACCCCCTCTTGTACTGTTCAGGTGGGGTCTCTAACCTTTTAAAGAGGCTTTTGTGAGGGGATGGGTTCAGAAAAAATGCAGGCAGAAATAGATACAGAAAACCATCCTACCCTAATTAACTTTATCAAAAGTTATATCCAAGCACATTCAATGGAGTTTTCATTTCCTCTGAGTGTATGTGTAGAGGATAGCAATCTAAAATAATTAAAAGACCCAAGGACCAAACCATGCTAGTAATAAAGTCAAAATTTTATTTGGGATAATAAATAACTTGGTAGATAAATAGGTAGACATCAGTAGGTTTGTAGCCACAAACACTTCTGAATAATTTAACAATATAAAACAGAAAGTTGACACATAGTTCTCTACAGCTTTTAATAGCTCTAAGAATTGGGAAAAGGAAATCTTTATGGCTTAGTTGCTCAGATCTTTATCCCAACAAAACTAGGCTGTTTCAAGTAATTTAATTTCCTTTTAAAAGTCACCCTCTCTTCCTCCTTCTCCTGATGAAATGAACATAAGGCTTAGTCATTCATAAGCTAAATTTTCCAATTTGAAAGTTGCAGCTGGGCTTTTTAGAAGTATGCCAGTAGAATTCAAGAACCGGAACAGCCCCAGTTTAAGTCAAATGAATCACATAAATGGGCAACTTTAGAGAGTGTCTCCCTATAATCTTCTAGGCTTAGTTTTCTGCTGGAATTCCAGCACGTGACATTTGAAGTCAATTTACTTAGCAGAGGTTTATTTGCGGTTGTTAGATGGGGAATCAAGGTTGAGTGACTTACCCAACTTTGCATAAGACCGTAGACTCCATTTTACAAACGACACAACAGGTGCTTTTTCCGGGGGACCTAAGGAAAACCATCTTCCTTCCACCTATTGCCTTCACAACCTCCATCATACAACACAGATGCTCAGAGAAGTTTCAGTGGTCCAGCTCTACATGGCAGAAGAATGAGCTATCCATCGAGCATGGCTTCAGTGTTTCACTCAATACTCCATTCATTCAAACTAGTGGTCTGGCTCAAACGTATGTTTTGAAGGACTCCTTCCTAGGGCAGTTGTCAACTTCTTGAGGCCAATGGTTTAGCATCTTGCCCATCTTCCGGACACACCGTGCTTTCCTTCGTGAGGTCTGGTGCTTCTTCTCTTTGGCATGTCCCTTCTGGAATAAAACCTTCTCCTCATCTGAACTCATTTTGGGATGTCTACAGGAATCCTCAGTGGGCTGAGGTTGCTTCTCCTCTGCCCAACGGCAAATCTGCAGAGCTTCCTCAAGACCCAGATGATCATGATGAAGCAACTGTTGCCTGACTAGACGGTCTCGGCAGCCCACGATCACCTGATCCCTCACCATAGACACACGCTGGTCTCCAAAGTTACAGAAATGACTCTTGTACTGCAAGTCAGCCACAAAATCTTCGAATGGCTCACGAAGCCCCTGGAAACGGGCCCGGAAGAGGAAGCGTTCGTAAGCTTCACTTTTACGGGGCCTGCAATGACCTTCTAAGTAGTCGAAGACCACCTCATGGTCACCTTCTTTCCTCGGGCTTAGTTGGAAGGAGTCGAAAACTGGCACATCCTTGGGCTGAGCCATTGACAAGGGTTCCCTGGTTTGATTGGCAGGCCATTGGGCCAAATCATCTGCTTTTAAGTAGACGAAATGTCCTCTGCAAACTGGCCATGCTTCTTCTGAGGTGGTGTTCATCTGAAGATCTTCAGCTGGCATTAAGAAGGCTACTCTTGATGGGCTGGGTGGAATCTCTGCGAGAGTGATGCTATCCTTCTGGTAACTCCTTGTTGTTTGTGTCCTTGTATCCCACAGGGAAGCTGCTATAGCAAGGAAGCTGCAAGCACAATGCCTTCCAATCTGGTAGGCATTTCCTATTTGTACTTCCTTCCGAGTGTAGAGGGATGAGTCACCACACACGGGGCAGGCTAGAGCCTGTTCCCAAGATGTCATCTCGGTTCCCTTGCTCCAGGGCAGGAGATGATGAGGTTGAAGGCATCTATCATGGAAGGAGAAGGAACTCACCAACCAGGCTGTGAGCGTTGACGTAAAGAGCCTCTCGGGTCCTGAGACATGACTCGGGAGTCATTCCTTTGTCCTCAACCACTGACTGCCAGCTAGAACAATGGCAAAACTCTCAAGAGATGATTGTGCAACTGTAATAACAGTGCCAGCAAAGTATTAAAGATTGTACTTAGGGATGGAGAGACCAAGCACCTTGATGATGTCTTGGAGTCAATGCAGGCAGTCCTCGACACAACTGAGTCCCAAATTTTCGTTGCTAAATGAGACAGTTGTTAAGTGAGTCTTGCCCCATTTTATGACCTCTCTTGCCACAGCTGAATCATTTCAGTTGTTAAGTTAACAACATGATTGTTAAGTGAATGTGGCTTCCTTACTGACTTAGCTTGTCAGAAGGTCGCAAAAGAAGATCACATGACCCCGGGCCACTGCAACCATCATAAGTATGCCAAACATCTGAATTTTGATCACGTGACCAAAGGGATGCTGCAATGGTCGTAAGTGTGAAAAAACGGTCATAAGTCACTTTTTTTAGAGCCATTGTAGCTTTGAATGGTCACTAAATGAACTAAGTCGAGAACTACCTGTATATATGCCATCCTTCATCTGCAAACCACAAGCTGAAAGTTATTCTAGAACAGTGGTGACGAACCTATGGCACGCGTGCCAGAGGCGGCACTCAGAGCCCTCTCTGTGGGCACGCGCGCCATGCCCTGGAGATGGCAACCATCCCTCTTCAACCAGCCGCCTGCTAACTCACTGAGGTCCCACATGGCCGGATGCATCCCAGCATGGTTGGTTTCCCTCCCCCGCCCCGTTCCATCCCTCCTGGCCTCGCATGCTCTCCTTTTCCCAGGCACAACCCATTGCATCACCTCCTCAGCTGTCAGCCGGCCATCCAGCTCAGAGGTGGCTTCTCTGAATGCTGGCGGCGGGCTGTGGAGCTGCTGACAGACAATGTCAGCCCCCATGCGCTCGCTGGCCTCTGTGTGTGGGGGCTGATGGTGTCAGGCAGCAGCCGCCCCAGTCCCTGCCTCGCCTTACCCCACAGGACGAGCCTCCTGCCCACCACCCCACCTGCCAGAGACCCCCTGGATCTCCCCCAACCCTGCCCGGTCCCCACAGGGGTCCCTCCCCACGATCAACATCAAGGTGACCACGCCCACCTTGGTCACACCCACCCAGCCTGCCATGACCACCACAGCCACGCCCACACAATGGGCCACGCCCACCTGGCACCTGGCAATAAATAAGTTTTGGGTTGCAGTTTGGGCACTCGGTCTCTAAAAGGTTCGCCATCACTGATCTAGAATATAAATATTGCATCTTTCCTTGCAAAATCAGGATTCTCGCTGTCTCAAAGGTGATTTTTTTTCTTCAAAATGCAACTGGATTCTTTTTTTCCTTGAGGAGGAAGAAGAAGTTTCGCTTCTGATCCAAAAAGCTTCATTGGTTGTGACAGAATGGTGTGGATGGAAAGATAGGATCTGATAGGATAGAGCAGTGATGGCGAACCTTTTAGAGACTGAGTGCCCAAACTGCAATCCAAAACCCACTTATGCATCGTCGGGTGCTGGGTGGGTGTGGCCCATTGGGTGGGCGTGGCCCATTGGGTCGGGGTGGCTGCGGTGGTAACAGCAGACTGGGTGGGACTAAAAAGTTCAATCAATCAATTCCAACTTTGCAAGATCTTTTTTTTTTCCTGCGAGAAGTTTAAATTGACTGACTGATTGAACCTCTTTTTTTTGTACACGACGGCCGAGGCCTAAAGCGAAAAGGTTTTATAAAACCCAGCGGAAGGCCTAGGATTGGGCGACGGCGCGAGTGCCCACAGAGAGGGCTCTGAGTGCTGCCTCTGGCACCCGTGCCATAGGTTCGCCACCACTGGGATAGAGGGAGGGAGGGAAGGATTATATTTCTTTACAGTCATCTGGTCGTTAGTACTCTCTCTGAGAGGTGTGGAGGCCACTTGGAGGTTGATTTATGCCAGGGTTGGGGAACGATGGCCTTTTATGACTTATGGACTTCATCTCTCAAAATTCCTGAGCCAGTCCTTTATCTCTTCCGAAGCAGCGCCTAGTTGAGCTTGATTGATCTCCAACATGTCAAGTATGGTTAAGCCTGGAGAGTCCTTGGACCTGGAAAAGGAAAACAGAAGATAAAACCCAGACAAAATCAGTGGCAAGCTCGTTGTCCAATTGCTGCCAAGAAAAATGATATGGGAAGCTTCTGTTCAGTCTTACAAGGTAGACCAGTCATGAAACCCGACCAAATTGAGCTATTTCTACTTCATTATAACGCTACATTAACAAAACCTTGTGTTGGAAGAAAAATCAGGTCCTGTTCCAAGCCGGGAGGACGCTGTAGAAATGAGCTGAAGGCAGGCTGCGTTTTGGAAAGGAGATCTCTCTTTGTTTAGTTGGCAGAAACTACCATAGTGACAGGAGCATGTTTCTGGGGTGGCTGACAAAATGGAGTTGAGAGTAGGTGCGTTTTTATACCTTCTTTGGGGCTTTATGTTTGAGATGCCTGTTCCTTGTGAAATGTGTACTTTGACCTGTGCTTGAGTGTGCCCTTTCAGTATTCTAATTACTGTTGCCTGACTCTCATTGTGGCTGGAGGGTCATGCCCTGTCCTTGGAGCTGGGTGGGGAATGTAGGAGTGAAGTATTAATACCACTTTACAATGCCTTGGTAAGGTCACACTTGGAATACTGCATCCAGTTTTGGTCGCCACGATATAAAAAAGATGCTGAGACTCTAGAAAGAGTACAGAGAAGAGCAACAAAGATGATTAGGGAACTGGAGGCTAAAACATATAAGGAACGGCTGCTGGAATTGGGTATGTCTCGTTTAACGAAGAGAAGGATGAGGGGGGACATGATAGCAGTATTCCAGTATCTCAGGGGCTGCCACAAAGAAGAGGGAGTCAAGCTATTCTCCAAGGCGCCTGAAGGCAGGACGAGAAGCAACGAATGGAAACTGATCAAGGAGAGAAGCAACTTAGAACTAAGGAGAAACTTCCTGACAGTTAGAACAATTAACCAATGGAACAACCTGCCTCCAGAAGCGGTGAATGCTCCAACACTGGAAGTTTTTAAGAAGAGACTGGACAGCCATTTGTCTGAAATGGTGTAGGGTCTCCTGCCTGAGTAGGGGGTTGGACTCGATGACCTCCAAGGTCCCTTCCAACTTTATTATTATTATTATTATTATTATTATTATTATTATTATTATTATTATTATTATTATTATTATTATTATTATTATTATTATTATTATTAATCTCATCAGCTCCAGTCTTCTGTGGGAGCTGTGGCTGAAGGCGTTTTGCTTATGAATAGTGTTGCCTAGTGAGTTCTTGAAGGTATTGACCAGACCGATCTAATGCCACACGTTTTATTGCAAGAATAACAGAACTGGCTCAACCGACAGACTGACAGATATTTATACATGCCACAGCGACCAATCAGATTTAAAGCTGGTTACCCGCTCAAATATAAACTTCAGTTTCCCTCCAAAACAGTTGGAGACACATTTAAACCCAAACACATTAACGGTCAATATCAATACATAACAAATAGGATGGCCCAGTCTTTCTGAGTGGAGTAGAAAAGCTCCATTCCTAAGGATTAACCTCTTCAGGTTTCTGCTTGAGGCAGGAAGACTGGGGCAGTTTCTGCCTTTGTTAGGATTTTTTTTCTCTATTTCTCCTTTAGAGGAAATATGCTATCCTGTCTCTTTTAATATTCCCCCCAAATATTTCATTCTTGGGGGACCGGGGTGCTCATCCCCTACACTCTAGAAGTACAATTCTCTCGCTGTCTCCTTTACAACCCAAGAAAATGGAGTGGATCCCTTCTCACATGCATAGGTACAGAATAGGTGGCACCTGGCTCGATGCAGTCCTGGGTGTATTAACAGGGATAGAATCTAGATCATGTGAAGTATTAGTACTGCATTATAATGTCTTGGTAAGATTACACTTGGAATATTGCATCCAGTTTTGGTCGCCATGATATAAAAAAGATGTTGAGACTCTGGAAAGAGTACAGAGAAGAGCAACAAAGATGATTAGGGGACTGGAGGCTAAAACATAAAATGAACGGTTGCAGGAATTGGATATGTCTAATCTAATGAAGAGAAGGACTAAGGCGACATAATAGCAGGGTTCCAATATCTCAGGGGCTGCCACAAAGAAGAGGGAGTCAAGCTATTCTCCAAAGCACCCGAAGGCAGGACAAGGAGCAACGGGAGGAAATGCATCAAGGATGAACCAATCTAGAACTAAGGAGAAATTTCCTGACAATGAGAACAATTTATCAGTGGAATGGCTTTTTTTCAAAAGTTTGGGGTGCTCCATCCGTGGAGGTTTTTAAGAAGAGATTGGACAACCATTTGCCTGAAATAGTATAGGTTTCCTGCTCAAGCAGGGAGCTGGACTAGATCTAGAACAGGGCTTTTCAACCTTTTCACCCATTGTGGCACTTTTAGGATATGGCAACATCCGAGTACCATCAGTCACCTAGCAAGGTGTCAAAAACTTGATGACCAAAAAAAAAAAAAAAGGAAAAAAGTGATAAAGTACAGGTAGTCCTCGATTTACAACAATTCACTTAGTGACTGTTCGAAGTTATAATGGCACTGAAAAAAGTGCCCCCCACGTTACAGCCAAGCAAGACACCTGTCTGCCTGCCCGGCCACACTCTTCCTCCTGTCCGAAGTTTTCATTGTTGTGAGCATTTCTATTGAGGATTGGCAGCGGGGGTGGGGTGGGGTGCTGTTTGGTTTTTATTCTCCCTGGGTGGTTGAAGCAGGTTTTGATCACTTCACATGACCCTGCGTCACTGTGACCGTCATAAATATGAATCAGTTGCCAAGCATCTGAATGTAAATCACAAAACCCTGGAGATGCTGCAACCATTCCAGCTG